GACTGCATTATTCTACTTTTCACAATAGCCAAGAAACATTTCACACCAATTATCCCTTACATAATACAGTAAGTCGTGAGTTTTCTTCTAGCCTAAAAATACACGATATAGTTCAACAATATCCAGGATTATCTTACTAAAAATACCACCTATAGCTAGTTCTTAAAATAACGCTTAGATTAAGATGTAAAAATGGTATTTATGTAAAATACGCATCTAGTAACTTAAGTGAAGAAGTGACGATTTGCCAGTGAAGTGTAGGACGTTTACATAATCAAATTAAGAGAAGTAGCAATAAAACACATCCATAGGCAGGGCCTTGAATAGGGAAGTAGGATGAATGTGGTGTCTCGTGTAGTGTTTGAGACCTGATCTCGTGATGTAACTCGTCTAGCATTTTAACAAATAATATACATGTCGGCAAAGAGAGAGGGAAAAGTGTTGATAGCACCTCTCCCCCCATAAATCAAACACCCATAAATCGACTAAGGTACACGTATTACACCGTCATTTGAGGTGTACTGTCCTCGAGTTTTCTTATGAGGAGCTGAAGTCGGCCAACCAGTGATGGAAATAGGGGTACATTTTTCCCATTGGTCAAGTTTAGTACTACTGAAGATGTTTATTAAACCTATCGTCACGGGTCAAAGGCCATCTCATCGCGTTTGTTGACTTGCATTCAAACTTTTATTGAGCTACTATTTTATGAATTTATGTCATTAAGTTTGATATCAAATTGTAGATTATAATTCAAATTTTAGTATTATACATTAGTTAATTTCTTAATTTGAAAGTAAATATTAAAAGAGCACACCTAAATATTGGTTTTTGTGTGTCACGTGGTATGTTGAGTGCAGCATTGGTTCAAATACAAAGTCTAAAGTTTTTTATGAATTAGAAACTCAAATTACCGATATTAACAAGCTAGAATATAAAATAAGAACCTCCTATCTTTTCTATTTGCTTTTTTTATATCCATCATCCCACTACTCCTTCTATGCGTGTACTAAGTTCCAAAAACACATTTCCTTTCCTGTGGTCAATACAACAAGGCAGTATTATGTCAGTACAAACAGATTTGTATATCATCTTGTTACATTATTATAGCTGAATAACTTGAAGAAGAAAATAAGCATTTCTCCAAAATTGAAAGGTCCATATGCAGGTATGAGGAGAATCAACGCCGCGTCAATTTGAATTTCAAAAAGCAAGCTTACCAAGTTGTTCGTTGTGATTTGCTATAGTAATATCGTACTGAGAACACATCCTGTTGGCTATTTCCAAACTCCCTTTCTTACGTAAGCCAGAGCAAGGTATTCTAAGACGTAGGTATAAGAAAGACCTGAAGAAATTTATTAAAGTCCCAAAGGTAACGATGGAGCCTCACCACGTCGTTGCAGTCCATGTCACCATGTGCGTTCATACTCTGTCAGAAGACCATTCACTCTAGTTTCCATAACAAAAGGTTTCGCCGTAAAGCTGTCACGTCCAAAGCATACCACTCGTCTTTGCCTTTTTCATGATCTATCTAGGACAACGGTTTCCCAGCGCTCTTCTCAATAGTCCGATGGCACAGTATTCCATAGATACTACGTCTAGCGACTTTACTGTATGTCTTTGTATGAAATGGAATGAATATCCGATTATTTCTCCAGGTGCTTGAGGTATGCACGGTAAGTATGACTGGAAGTCTTATCCTAGTGAATCAATATCCTGTTGGCCTCATTTCTAGACGGAGATCTTTCTTGATTATGCTACATACTATTGCCAGGGGCAAATGGACGGCTATTGTCACAGATGTTTGTATTCACTGACTCTCTTTTCTTACAAGACACCGCACTTTGTTTACCGCGGCTATGGAGCGATATGATGCAGTCTCTTTCTTGATGGTCCTAGATTCCTAACTTAATCCATATTCTTTTGTTTCTAATGCCATTAAGTACAAGGGATATTCACCCTCTTAGAAATCCTAAGTTCTCGATCTGAACACATCATTGTGATTTCTGTTGTGAATATTTTGTGTAGGAAAGTGCTGTTATATGCCTTACCCAAAATCTACCAATTTTCGTTGGAATCATACTCTCTACCTACGTGTCCCAAACAATATCAAAACGTAGTTCTGATACATTCTATTCCACCATGCCGTTATATCGACTGTAGTTATCCGTGAATAAGAATTGTAAATTTAATAATTAAAGAAATTGTTCAAGAGACTGTACACGTTGGATAATGGCATACAGATGACTGTATACTTCTGTGGACTGCATCTGCTTCTGTCTTAGAGGGGTTTTTTGGACGTCGTTTCGATTTGTTGGCAGTTCTTCAGTTCAAAACGTCCAAAAGCTTTTAAAACAGATACAACCTACAGGTCTCCAATCAAGTACAGTCTTATTTGCCAAACCCTTATGTTTTAAATTCTTTCTTATGAGAAATTTTAAGACATTGTGTTTTGTAATGTTAATATTTGATATCTAATTTTTGCAATAATTACGCTTCTTATTTTCCAATAATTGCCGTTATTTCTTCTCTTTATTTGTACAGGGTAGTCCAAAACTTAGTTTCTCTACAGCAGGTTGCTAATTCTTTTAAAGGTTTGTTCGTGATTTGTGTTACTTTTTGTCTCTTCTACTCTTCTACCTCCCTCCTAGTCTTCAGTCTATCGATCTCTTCTTTCTTGTTCGTTCATTCAGCTTCGCATACTATTTTGCTATTCTTTCTGCCATACGTCAGCAACAGTTAATATCCTGTTAAGTAATGTGTGTATGCAAATACGGTTAATCTGTTTATTTCCACAAGTCAAATATCGCGTTTTTTGCATCATTCACTCAAACATTTAAGACCCTTTCTGTCATACCCACACAGAACAAACATAGGTGTTATTAGTTCGTTTAATCATAAACTCGAGATAAGAACGATCTCGTGACATTAGCACGAATGGATGACGATGTAGTTGCCATGGTGATGGACGTAGCATGTTCAGGAGAAAAGAAACTATGATATATATGTATAGAGAAAGTTGATGGTAGGTCGACTGTTGTTAAGTGAAGGTCAAGAAGGACAGCTAAGTAAAGTGGTTTGATATTTACTGAAACCTTAGAGCATATATATATTTCTTTACTCTCCGCTTACGGCGACATCTATCTTAGATGTATTATAATATTCTTCAAACATTTTTTGATGCACTTCTAATTTTACATATTTACTAATAAGGATCTTTTTTTATCTGATATTTTGAGGTCATATTAGCACCTATGATAGGATTAAAGTTATTACTTCAAATATGTTTTGTTTAGAATGTTTACTTGTTTAAGATACAGATAAATGCTATCGGAAACGGTGTCATCCCGAAGAAGAAGCCCACTTTTTCATTAGAGATTTGTGTCTTGGCGAGAAGTTGCCTGTCTTAAAAACATCGTTTTTCAGTCTTTTTTTTTTCTTTCTACTTCCCCTCCTCCAGCGAATGCAAGAGGAAACCAGACTGTAATAAAAAGCTATTTGTTATATAAGTATAGACATAACCTCTTAATGTAGTGAGATTATAGGAAAGGTACGATACCGTTTCATACTAATGGTTGTACGACGTTTAAAAAAAGAAAATTATTTAGGTCTGATGTTTTTCAAAAAAAGTTCCTAAAGATCTTTTTTTTTGTATTCTTCTTAAGAAGACCTGGTGAAAATCTGAAGTTCACCATTTAAGTGCATCGAAAATTGGCGGATCATTAGAATCCAAGAGGTGTCGGAAGTTCGCAAATTAAGAATAATAGTGAAGAAACCTGCAGCATAAGTGATTATCATTAGACCTGTTGGATTCTAATGCTCCAGCATCTTTCAGCGATTCATCCTTAACAGTGAAAAAATCAATTATTTCGTTGATTCGATTATTATAAATCAATCATATGTTACAGATAGATAAAATTTGTTTCAAACTTTTGCTCAAAGCTATAAAAGGGCTATCCATATATATCATTGACTACCCACTGCCAACTTATTGTTTATGGGCGAATAGTGGGGGCGTAACCACAGCCCCAAGCTTATTTTTTTGCAGAAGAGGGTCTTGAACCATGAACCCCCCTCCCCCCCCCCCCACCGTGCTGCTCTAGATTGATTAGAGCAAACACGTTGTTTTGTGTGGCTTGATAAGGAATCGTACAATCAGACATGAAAAGAGGTAATCATTATGATTCTGTTTCTTTGTTTTATGTTCTCCTCTTATTAGTAATCTATCTCTCCATATTATCATCAAATAATTAAATAAGTGTTTGTTTCTGAGTAACGTGACTTAATATATTTCGATATTTCATTAACAACAATATGTTTTTGCCTCAACCCAATACGAATATTTCCTATTAAATAATCCAGTTTTTCAAATAAATAGAAGAACCGGTAACAATATGTTGTTAATAGTTGCTCCCCTTTCTAATGAAGTCCGTCTTGTGGAATCAAAGCGTTAATTCCACAAGAATTTTTTAATCATATTTCCTGAATAATTAAAGATGTGTTCAAACAGCCTCTTGTTTTTTTGTAATATTTTGCAACTACTTTTCAGCACTGGAATCGTTCACACTTTGCTAAAACAGAAAGTTAGATTTTTTTATTATTGTTTCTGCTATAATCGAAGTGGAATGATTTGTACGCTTTTGGTTTTTCCTATGGATTGCACAAAATATGGAGCACGATATATAACCTTCAAACGCGACGTGTACGATTTACCTTAGCCCTGGCGTTTTGATAATCAGATAAGGATACAGTGTCCTTCAGAAAAAGTATTTCCATATTACTGCGACTCTTCCTGTCTACTATACACTAGATGGCACCACCTGACTTCTCAGAACTATTGTTTTGAAATATATTTTAATCCAATTTTTGATAGAAAAATATTTTCACGGGATGTATCTAATTAATTATCATTAGCGATTTTATATCAATAACTTTCATTGAAGTTCTTTATCAGTTTGTATACTTCTTTTTATTCACAAGTAAAACAATGCTTTTATTCCTAGAACACGTTTGGCAAGTGAATGTGAAAAGCAAAGGACTCGGAAGTAGTAAGAATATTATTGGCCCTTATCGTCTTTGTCTCTCGGTGAACATTCTAAACCTCGTGAAAATAGCTGCGCATGACGACAAGACCGAATCTTTTGCGTTTCCCGTGAGTATCGTTTATATACGTTGTTTTCCATCATGCTTTATAAGGTGTCGTAGCTCAGTAAAGTAGTAGCTGTATATATTATAAAAATCATCACACATTCATTCTATTAGCGGGTCTTGTTTGGAATTTCATCAACATGAACCTTAATTCCATTCATTGTTTTTAGATTTATAATTGTTAACTTTGTTGCAAATTCACCAAGAAAGAAAGGGGTCTTGTAACTGACGATAAAACCTTATCAGTAGAGCTCACCTAATAAAGAAAGGGGGGTCTTGTAACTGACAATAAAACCTTATCCGTTGAGCTAACCTAATAAAGAAAGGGGTCTTGTAACTGACGATAAAACC